CGAGCCAGGCAAGCCTTTTGCCAAACTCTCTCTCGCACTCACGGATGACACGGATCCCCTTGCATGACGTCGTTAATGTGTATCTCTCTCTCTCTCTCTCTCTGTCTCTCTCTCACCGAGCATAACACATTGGGTCTTACTCTTACAAACAACAAGTGGCCACAACATGCCAATCCCTGACAACATCATGCTCAAACCCCCCAAAAATGCCTGGGATTCACGACGCTTGCTAGTCCTGGGCAAAATCTCGCCAGTTGGACTCCTCGGCAACCCGCCGCTCCTCGATCCGTTTCCGCTCGGACTCCTCAGATAACTGTTAAGTCCGATCACTAGTCGCTCGAAAAACTTTGAACTACGACAAGCTGCTCCAAGTACTGTGAACTCTAAACGCCTTGTCGTCTACTCGTAAGGCAACGCCCTCTCCAAAGCCGCTACTCGGCATCAGGGTGCCGCACTGGAATCCAAACCCGAAGAAGTTGGAACCATTCCGGTCAACAGCAGCTGATCGCATGATGAGTTCTGGATGCTTCCTCCATGCCGCTGCCTGTGGCTGCCAGCCAACACCCATCTGGGAAACCCCCACAATCCCTGACTGGCCTGCTTGTCTCGCCGTAGACGTTCCATCCTCCGACGCAGTGTACGAGTCTGTACAACACCCTCAAAACCTAGCATTTTGCTAGCTTTCCTTTTGCTAGACTGCTAGAGACGTTCCTACTCAGTGGCTTGACCTGCACCTGACAGGCTTGGCACTTGTGGTCACAGCTGGCCCCGAGGTCCCCCCACCCAAAGCCTTAACAAGCAGAAGGCGGGGCCAACTCTTCAGGGCCCCTGTCCAAGCACCAAAGGCCCTGGCGCACGCTCGAACTCTTCGCGCTGCAGCCGCTCTTCCTGCTTCCGAACTGCGGGGATGCGACTTTAAGCTCACTTCAAGTCTAAGGGATTTCGGAAGCTGTAAGTATGGCCTGTGCTCACAGTTGACGCCGGCTGACGGTCTTGAAAACATTAGAATTACGAGGTGTTGTTTCTGCATGAAAAAGGCGCGCGAAGTCCAGCACCTACGGTGGGACCCTCACAAAGTATGTGGGAATGTTGCAGCGAACTCAGACCGCAATAAGAATCCACGCCCTGCGGCGCCGCGCGAAAACCCCAAGCCTTTAAGTTGCCCTGCCAAAGCCCCTTTTTGCGTGTGTGTTGCACTTTCTTGCACCTCATATTATATGAACTTCTCTTGGTTCCGGCCGGGCACCTCTTCTTGCTCGCGCCGCCTCGCCTTTCCAACAGTTCGCAGGCGAATTCTGTTGCTTTTGGGGTTGACAGTCACTGTCAGTGGTGTGGAGCAGGGTCCGCCTACGACGGCTACGACCCGGTACCTTACTTGATGTCTTGAGGGCGGCCTCCTCCTCCTCCTGCTCACGCCTTCTCCGCTCCCGCTCCTCCTCCTGCATTGAAGGCATTTGAAGGCGGTGCAGATAGCCCTCGCCCTCGACTGCTCTGGGGCTCAGCTTTACAGGATGAGGATATCTGCGTTACCGGCCACTGGGTGGGAGTGTCGGACATGGGAATGCAGGCCAGATGCAAAATGCCTTTCTTCGGGTCATATTCACTAGACGAGGCCGTCTGCCCAAATGCAGTCTGACTAACTTGGTCGATGCACAAATGCCCAAAACTTGCTGGCAGGCACTGCTGGCCTTTAAATGTTTCTTTGCTGGCATGCACTGCAAAGTCACAGGCCTCTCTTCTGCGCTCCTCCTCTAATCGTCGTTGCTCCTGCTGCAAGGAGCCAGAGAGCAAAGCAAGCGATGATGCTGAATGCACAATCTCGTGGAACAACAGGTGGTGGTATAGAGGGTTCGTGGGGCAAATGCTTCAGGGACCTGTATCACATGCCGGGAACAAGCACAGATAAGCAAAGCTCGCATGTTCCTTACCCGAGGCTGATGAACAAGCTTTCTGGTGAAGGCTCATGCATTCAACATCCCAGAGCCCAGGCTAGGTGAACTTGGGATCCAGGCCCGGGCCGGTCGCTTTGGCTTGTGATGGCTTGAGGCTACATTTGATCTGGGAACCTGCAAAAAGACAGCAGCCCCAATTTCTCCAAGCCCGCTCGCTAAGTAGGGCTGTAGGTTCTCCACCACAACGCCCATCTCCGAATTGCAAGCGAAAAAAGGGACGTAAACCAACCCGAGGAGATTTAAAAAAAAAACGCGACCTCCGCTTCGCGTCGTCTCTCCCGTAGCTCCTGCAAGAGCCCCAGGTCGGCCGGTAGGTCTATGGCATGCTGTTTCAGAAAGCAACTTCCGAAAACTCCAACCCTGTGCGTATGCACCTCGGCCCTTTCTGCCATCGCCTCGGTTGAATGTGCGGGGACATGTTGTGTCATGCTTGAGCCCTGCAGTTCGGCCGGTGATCTTCGGGCGACGGGTGTAACAGGAACCATCGCGCCACGTAACAGGAACCACGTTTCAGACCGACTACGACGTAACAAGAACGAGGGGCGACA